CAACCAGCTTCTTCATCGCCAAAATCCAACAATCGACCCATTATGTGCCTTATGTCCAGGAGAAATTGACACTATCGTTCATCGCATCTTCAAGTGCACAAGGAGTCGTAATGTCTGGTTCTATCAGAAGTCTTTATTAGCTCATCTAGACCCTAGGCTTTGTCGCATGGAACCAGAAAAGTTTATGTATCCAGTCTTCTCAACATTTACAAGAGCAACAAAACAATCTTTGATTAAACAGTTAGGCAAAATGTTCCTTTATTTAGTTAATACAAATTTTGCAGATGTAAGCGTCGAAAACTTTAGAATTATTATAGAATGTATGTAACTTTAATATAACTGACAATAAAACATGAAGATATTATAAAAAAAAGATAATCGATGCACCCCTCGAAACATAAGAAAACCCATGAACCCCTCATTTTATCTGTCAAACTTTCATAGCAAATCAAAACAAACATAGTGTAGTACTAGAATATTGACTAGATTGACAATAGGCTAGTCAAGTAGTGAGCCAATTTAATATCGTTAGTTTCGAATTGATTGTTGCTTCTATGGCGTATCCTATTCTTATGATTGGGTACCAGCATCTGTCAAAGACTGTTTTTGTTTTCGTTTCGCGTAGGTGCTTTGTTGTGCTGCATGCGCCGTCACTGGAGGTTTCAGCATCTGGTATTTTCTGCGGTGTGTTTCTGCCGTTTCTACCGAGGTTTCTACTGACTTCCTGCTCCAAGATACTCCCGCAGCTTGTCGGATGGTAGCGAGGTCAACTCATCCGGAATGTTAATAAGGCCTGAACCCCAATCAGAAAAAACCACAAGTCGTGGAATAGGAAGAGCAACAATAAGTATACCACATCCAGATTATATCTGAGCATAGCAAGAATTATGGAGCTGTAAACGGTGATCAGGAGGCGCTGAAGTTGGCTGAAGGAATGCGTTGCTCTGTGAGTGATGCCAACCGCTAAAAAGATCTAGCCTCCCATGGCTTCTGGGTCTGGAAATACCAAACAAAAAGCGAAAACTAACCGAGGTAAACAGAGTCAATGGTATAATAAGAGTCCCGCCAAGAGTGAGAGTATCAATCGAACTATCAAGCGGGGCACCAAACAGCGTTGCTATAATGTTTTAAAGCTTATCGGTATCAAAGGTTTTAAAAAGTCGGTATTTATCGGTATTTACTATTTTAATTAATTATATATTTTTGGCATTTTTGAAAGCGAACATTTTATCTTTTGGACTATGATCGGAAAATTCCGGAAGAAAACTCCGTAGAATGTTTGAATTAGCTTCTGGAGGAAGCTGAAAACAAGAGCCAGAGATAGAAGCTCCGCTGGAGGAAATTTGAGGAAAGTTCTGAGATAAGTCGGAAAAACATCCGCGGAACTTCCAAGACATAAATTGAGAAACTTCTGGCGAAAATTTAAAGAAACTTTCAGAAAAAAATCGGATTTCACATTCAAAGGAAAGCAGAAAAGTTTCGGAAATCGGAAATAAATTCCAGAAGTAGCCATTTCCAGGGGAAGCCAGAAGAAGCTCGGAAAAACTTTCCTATAGAAGTAAAAAAAAACAACTGGACAAAATTCCAGAACTAGACGAAAGAAATTTCCCGGAGAAGTTTTATTGAACTTCCTGGAGACACTGGCAGAAACTTCCTAAGATAGATTGGAAAATATTCTGGAGGAAGTCGAAAGCCAGAGTGCTAATAGAACAGTCGAAAGATACAATAATTCCATAAGAAAGAGCTCTTGGGGATGTTCTAATGATCCAGAAAATATTCCAAATAGTCATAAAAGATCCCTGAAGACCCCGAAATGCCCCTGAAGTTTTTGGAACATTCCTGAAATTTTTGGAAGATTCCTGAATCCCTGATTATAATGAGACTATCGGAATATCTCTAATCAACTTTGAAGGTTTCAGCATTGAAGTTCTCTGATCTTCCCGATTTTTCTAATTTTTAAAAGTTATCGACACTGCCATGATTGTCCTGATGTTCTCGGAGCTTCCTAAAGTTCTCTCAATTCTCCTGAAACTAATGGAACTGTCCTGAAAACCATTAAATTTTCCAGAAGTTCTTTGAACTTGTGAAGTATCCAAAATATTTATGATGTTTCCTTAAGTGCACTGGAGTTCGCTGGACCGGGTTTTAGAATTTTAACAGAAGTTACATTCTTTAATTTATCGAAACTTACTCAAAAGTCTGGACTTTTCTGAAGTTTCAGAACTTTTTAAAAGTTCCTGCAGCTAGTGTGGATCCGCAATCAAAATCCAGAAGCATCCCTGAAGTTCCGGGAAGAATCATTCGAACGAAGACTGAAGAAGCTTTCCAGGGAAGTCGAAGTAAGTTTCCGAGAGGAATCGTAAATAGAAAATTTCAGGGGAAAGTTGGAAGAAAATCCAGGAAGTTAAATAACGTTTAAAACGTATTTCCCGATTCCCCCGGAATTACCGGAAAGAGCCATCGACTGTTTATCGATTCATTGGTAGCTAAAAACGGTGGGGAAATTGAAACATTAATCGAGAGAGTATACATAAGACATTTTTGAAAATGAACTGATAGAACTTTAAAGACTCAAAAAATTTGAGATATTCAAAAAGATATAAGTCTCACATAAAAATTTTGATTTTGATTATTTAAAAAAATCGGTATACCTCGGTATAACACCTCAAAAATCGGTATTCTGAGGAACCTTATCTGTATATCGGTATCTAGTTCGGAAATCGGTATAAATACCGATAAATTGGTATATCTGGCAACGCTGGTACCAAACAAGCAACGTATAAATAAACATTATTGTTGCCACATCCAGTATTGCAATATCACTGACCATATTTTAGTAATGTTATATGGAAAACATGACTTCGCTTTATTTAGTACATTGTGGTATTTATAATTTATACCAAGCACACTTGTTTGAACATTTTTCAGTTTCTATAATTGTTTTTGTCTCTCAGAAGCTCCGTTATCGACATGAAAATTTTCACTTCTGAATGACAGTCATCCGATGCTAACGCAAAAAATCGGGTTGCCGTTTACTCTGACGAAAAATAAATCACAAAAAGTGCAAATTCTCTTAATAGTTCTTCAAAGTATTCTGAAAATTTAGTTCATTTCAAGGGTCTTGAAATCTTGTTTTTGCTTTGAAGAGAGGACGAAGTACCTATTTATTTTATTGATTTGTCGTCGAATTTCACGAGATTTTCGCGTTTTTTTTCTCGATGACTTTAAATTCCCGGCTGTTTCGTGATTTTCCCGATCTCCCGGCTTACTGGTCACCCTGCACACTTGCCTTTAACCCCATTGTTTTGTTTTGCTTTGAGCACATTTTTAGACACAGGTCCGCAAGAAAATTATTAACCAAACGGTAATTCACGGGTGGTTTTCTCCGGTGGAAAATCATAAAAAACAGTGCTTTTACCTCCAACATTTGTAAGTTAATTCAATCTTAATTGCGGTAGCAGCATCATCACAATACTATAACTTCACTGAGAAGTTAATTTCCCGAGCTAACCAGGTCTACAATGCAGACCTAGACTCAATAAAGTCACTCTATGCTGTCAAGAAGATGCTTGTCGACGTATCTTTGTATCATTATTCAATCTTAAAAGTGCTACCGGTGGAAACTAACGATTTAAAATTGGCACACTACTTGACTAGCCTATTGGTCCCAAGCAAATCGATTAGCGTACCCTCAATTCTAGTACTACACAATGTTTGTATTGATTCGCTATGTAAGTTTGACCGATAAAATGAGGGGTTTGTGGATTTTCCTATGTTTCGAGGGGTGCATCGATTAACTTTGGACCGAAGAGTGTACAAAGTTGAGCACGTTTCATTAACAGCTAACAACGCCTAGCGTCTACGGAAGTGGATTTTTTTTTATCAACCCTCAAGTTCTCAGTTCAACTTGCAGTAATTCTTGCTCAAGTTGCAAAAATGCTACATCAAGCATTGAAAAACCACAAGTTCACAACTCTATTTCAAATTTTAACTGAACAACCATCCTCAAGCTACACCCAGCAAAAAAGTTGTAAAACTAGCAAAATTAGCCGTATTTATTAAAAAGTTTCTGTGATTAAGAAATATTTCCCTGAATTTTAATTAAATTCCCTGAGATTTCCTGATTTTCTAGTTGCAAAAATAAATTCCCTGATTTTCCAGGTTTTCCCACCCTGGATATCCCATGAGTTTAGGAAATTTCTAATGTGCTTCTTATACTCAACAAATTTGTACATTGCATAGCATCTTAGACCAACTCTTCCAACTCAACGGGCCATGCATTAGGCGCTTTTGGGAGTTCTCTTGAATACCTTGGTGTATGAAACAAAGATTTTAAAACTAAACGCAGTATACCCTACCTAATGTGTGGCACCAATTCACAATTGCCTTACTTACTTCCATAACCCACAAAACAGTTGAAACAATTCACAGCCCGCAAATAGTATGATCTAACTCAGATCCACACGGGTCATTGAACCGGTTGAAAATCCAACTCGCTGTTGCATACACTGCAAAACTGTCCGTAGGAAAGGTGTCGATGACTATTATAATAAATGAAAAAAAAACAAAAGTGATTCAAATCAACCGAGAAGTTGCGAAAACACCCGTACCTACCAACACAATCAATTCGCTCGCTATCGAATCGAATGCAATTGATCAGCATCAATAACAGAAATAAAAGTCTATACCCTTAACGATAATAGTAGGTAATATGCAAAACAAAAAAAATAAAATAAGTGCGACCACCAGCCATCAGCTCGCGCGCGGATTTTACGCATCATTGGCCAAACAGATCACCAGACGACGACGGAGCCAGACCCCAAACTCGATCCGATCTGCATGCGCTTTAGGGAGAGGGTCCAGCGCTGCACGGGTATGTTACTGTTGTTATTATTCAAAACCTTAAATTGGAGTCACTCGGTGGCCCAGTGGGATCTGCAGTTTCCTCCGTATAAAAGTGCCACCGGGCCGGTTTCAGAGATCTAGTTCGGTGTGAAAATTCGACCATGGAAGTACAGTGTTGATCGCTTTTGAAATAGTGAAAAGACCCTTGCAGAATAAGAATAAATTATGAATCAATTGATGGTCCACCTGACGGTGGTGGTGCTAGTGGCGTCAGTGGTCCGGGCAAGTGACGCGGACTTTCGGGTGTTCGATTTCGGCGATGAAGATACGGAATTTTTCAGTTCATACGAAAAGGCCTTCAACGACCATGAATACTTCCCGTCGGATTTAAATCTAGGTGCGTTGGATTTCATTGCAGCTACGCCCAACTTTGCCAAACATTCGTCCTACGTCGATCCCAGTGAAGTGGAAGTGGCCCGGAGTAAGCGCAAAGCTGCCGCTGCCTCTAGTGAAGAGCACTCCGGTGAAGATGGGGAGGGTCCGGACGACTACGTAGACCGGTACGAACGGTTCGTGAGCCGTCACTTCCAGGATCGTGACCAGCAGCGGAAGGAGGACGACGCGAAGGGCGATGGGGCGGGTTACCAGTATAGGTTTGACTATTCTCCATCGGATGACTACGAGAGGATCAAGCAAGAGTCGGAGGCACAAAGTCGGCAACTGGCGAAGGATCCGAAAAACTGCAAAGCCTTCGAACAGGATGGGATGTTGTGCCACGTGTGTCGAGATCCAGCGACGGATACCACATCGGAGTCATGTGCTTACGCCACAGTTCCTCACCATAAGAAATTTGCCTACGTGAAGCAGAAGAACTACAACAGTAGGGATCACGAGAAGGAACCGGAGAAAGAGGAAGACGAAGCCGATGTTGAAGGCGACGACGACGACGACGACGACGGTGAAGATGAGATTGAGGAAACTACCAAAGCTCCAGTTGCCACTGTGAAGCAACGAACTCGGGCGGAGAACATTTCCAATTTGCCGCAGCAGAAGCCGAAAGTTATACCGACGAAGAAATCCGTAGTTCACGTCAAACCAGGACAGGCGGCAATCAACGGTGGTGGATATCGCTACCAGCCGGTTGATATGCGATCAAACAAACAGCGACCAGCGGCGGCAGGTCCGGTTCAGACCATTCAACCGACGTATTACGACTTTTACACACATTTCTTCCCGGCCTCGGCGGCGCCCTCGCACGGATCGGTTGGTCGTAGTCAGAAGATTCAACAACAGGCACCGGCCAACAGTGACGATGTTTATGTGCTGAGCTATCGGGACAAGGACCAGGTGGCGAAGGTGCTGGCCGATTTCGAATCGCGCGATTGGTCCAACTGTAAGAAAGGTAAGAAATGAGGTCATAGAGACTCTAAAGCTGGGTTTAAACAGGGCAAGTCAATTGATCAAGTCAGTTGAATTCAATTGGCTTGAAAAGTTGAGCCTGGTTCAACTTTTTTCATTTCAAGTGAGTTGATCAAGTCAGTTGAATTGCATGGTTTACACGTTCAATTCGCGTTCAAGTCAGTTGAATTCAACGAATTCAACTGACTTGCCCTGTCTAAGCCCAGCTTAAGACTAGTAGCATAGAGGTAACACTAGGACTAGAATGTCCCGAAATAACTTGCTCAACTTTTTTGCTCAGCTCTGGTACTCTCTTCGGTCCCAAGCTTATCGATTCACCCCTCGAAACATAGGAAAATCCAATAACCCCTCATTTTATCTGTCAAACTTTCATGGTAAAAACATAGTGTAGTACTGGAATTTATACTAGAATGGGATACGTTAATTGATTTGCTTGGGTAGTGAGTCAATTTAAAATCGATAGTTTCGTATTGATTGTTGATGAGGTTGTGATGCAAGCATAAAATGGCTATGTTTCGGTAGCTCCGTTGTTTGTAAATCGACTCAAAATTAGACAAGTACCATCAACATATACTTTACAACTGCTTCTTGTAACCTGTAAAATATCATTATAAGATTTAATGATTTGATAATTCTGAAAAATATTTTTTATAGCAAATGAGTGGAAGCAACCCTGTTCCGATGTAAGATATTGCGGTGCTCGTCATTCTCTGAATCACTTTCTCCCTGTTAACTGGGGTCACATTATAGAACCAAGTCGAAACGATCATACAAGCGTTCATACGAAAAACGCTTCGTTTCGACTTCACCAGGGATGTCGTTCCATATCGTGAAGATTTTCATTAATAATGACAAGACCAAATAGTACTTCACGTAGATACCACGTGTGTGAGGTATGCTTCTACCTAAAGAGTTAAAACAGAAAATCTGGAAATCACCAGATAATCCCGTTTAGACGCCAGGACTCAATGATTACAATGGTAACATAAGTCAAAACAAGAAACAATAATTTAAAATACAATGTGTTAAATTTTTTTACATTCATAATCCAAAGAACAATTCGACAGTGAGCATGCATAAGGGCGTAAACGCGATGATCGACTCCCTTCGTCGATTTTATCTTTTGTTAAAACTCGCTAGAATTAACGACTAACGTTTGTCGGTGCGTTTGCTGTTGCTTTTAATAGACAATACAACCTATTACAACTCTGCATTGAACAAATTCTATAAAATTGTTTCGCTTAGCTGTAGCAATGCAAAAAGAAAATCGATGAAGAGAATCGATCATCGCGTATACGCAAATATGCTTGCTCACTGTCGAATTGTTGGAAAGTAATGGTAATAATCAGCAGGGTTGTTAATCAATAAACGTCGATCACATCTATTAACGTCTAAAATGCAAATTCACCATTGCAGACGTTATCGACGGTTAACGATAACAACCCTATTCAGGAGCAGTTAATTTTATGAATCAATAAATAGGGTAGAGCACTACTTCGTCGAGGTAACTCTAAGACCAGAAGGTCCCGAAGAAACGTGCTCAACTTTTTGACTAAGCGCTGGTACTCTCTTCGGTCCCAAGCTAATCGATGCACCCCTCGAAACATGGGAAAATCCACGAGCCCCTCATTTTATCTGTCAAACTTTCATAAAGAATCAAAACAAACATTGTGTAGTACTAGAATTTCGACTATAATGGGATACGCTTATAGATGTACTTGGAACCAATAGGCTAGTCAAGAAGTGAGCCAATTTGAAATCTTTAGTTTCCACCGGTTGGTATTACACTTCGAAAATAAATTATTATGTTCGAAAATCTCTCTTTTTGTATCATATGATTTTGGATAAGGTGTTTGTCAAAATTGATTCCTTGTCTGTCAGAAATAAGTCTGGTAGAATAGCAGGTTTATTTGAAAATTTTCCATCTGTCAAATTCAAGTGAAAATTCACCAAATGGAGCACAGCCTGAGTACCGACGCCAGAGAGGCAGCTCCCACACCTGGACCCTACCTATCGACCCATCAACTCATGGACCGGGGACCAACGGCTTTACTTCCCCTACGATCAGAGATTTTAGGGCTCTTTAGGGTGAGAGGCAGTCACGCTTAAGGCCCAAACGCAATGTGGCCGAAAGCGGAACGGAAATTTTGACAGTTGTCACAAATGACATCAAGATGCCTAACCGAAGTCGATTTGGTTCTAACATGCATTAAATCCGACAAGTAGGCTTACTCATAGTCCTATTCTGCGCGGCGGGTGAGGTGAGGTGACAGTGAAGTGATAATTGTCACCTCGGATGAGGTGAGTCTCCATGCAAATCAAATGGAGAGTCACCTCACCCGAGGTGACAATTGTCACTTCACCATCACCTCACACGCCGCGCAGAATAGACCTATCAGATCGGGCTTTTCCGCTGCCGTTCCGCTTCCGCTCCTGAAATCTCAATCTCCGCACAGATGTAAACACCACATAAGCGAAGCAACCATTTCTCGATGAACATTTCAAATGGCCCTATCTGTTTTGATCGATTCTCTTCATCGACTTTCTCTTTTCATAACCACTGCTATGAAAACGGATTTCGCACTAATTCTACCACATAGTTTGATAAAGAAGGTTCTTATCTAGCGTCCAAAACGTCAAATACAACAGGGAAAGGTTTTGCAGCTGAGTTAGGGATCGTCCATTAATTATGTCACACTTTTAAGGGGGAGGGGGGGGGGGGGGGTTTGGAAACTGACGAGCCTTACAAAAACAATTAAGGTCCATATAAAAAATGTGACAAAGGGGGAGGGGTGGGGGTTGAAAATGGGCCAAATTTGCGTGACATAATTAATAGACCTTCCCTTATTGACGAAAGAGAAAGTCGATGAAGAGAATCGATCAATGCAGATAGGACCTTTTGAAATGTTTATCTAGATTTGTTCCCAACATTTTCCCTCATGACTGGGATAATGCGTAGTACCATCATAGAGGTAACTCTAAGACCACTGGGTCCCGAAGAAAATCATTATTATTTTTGGCTCACTCAGTACCAGAACAACGGTCCCAAGCAGTCCCAAGCTATTTCACTCACCCCTGCATGTTCTGCATGAATCCACACACCCCTGATGTTATCTGTCAAACTTTCATAGCGAATCAAAACAAACATAGTGTAGTAATAGAATTTCAACTAGAATAGGGTACGTTAATCGTTTGCTTGGGACCAATAGGCTAGTCAAGTAGTGAGCCAATTTAAAATCGTTAGTTCCGTATTGATTGTTGGTAGTACTTCGCGTACCTGAAGGTTATAAAATAGACCCCTCACGCAAGTGAAAGTGGTCCTTAGCCTCTTGCCCAGTAACTCCTATCCCTTCACTGAGGCAAATAGACCTAAGAATTTCATAAGGATCGACTTATGAACAACATATATGAATTTCATAAGCGTGACTTATGGTTGATTTTCGGGTAACATGAGGTAGCTCTTATACGCCTTTAACCATTTCATTTACCTAAGCGTTGAGAGGCGAGTGGTCAACACACGGGCCACCTAACCTCTACGTCCATTTTCCGGTTCCAGTCTGCTTCGATTTATTATTTTTTTGTCAACATTATTTTTCATAAGGCAAGTCAATGAAATTCACACTCATTTCTTGTGGCTAAAATTCACAAGTGTATCTTATGGAATTCTTACGTTCTTTTGCCTGCGTGTTCCTAACCGCGGCGCCGGCTGGGGTACGAGTAACCTTAGGGAAGATCGGGTAACCAACCCCGGTGGCAACTTTAGTCGTATGCTGACAGGGAAGGGGAGCTGCATTCTTTTCGGAGGATGTGGCTTACAAAACCAGAGCGCCTGTTCTCCATGTTAGGTGCGGCTCAAACAGCGTCTGACCATAGAGGTAACTCTAAGACTAGTAGGTCCCGAAGAAACGTGCTCCACTTGTTGGCACAGCTCTGGTACTATCTTCGGTCCCAAGCTAATCGATGCACCCCTCGAAACATAGGAAAATCCACGAACCCCTCATTTCATCTGTCAAATTTTCATAGCAAATCAACACAAACATTGTGTAGTACTAGAATTTCGACTAGAATGGGATACGTTAAGGTTCAATTTACTTTGATGCTTTTTGGAAAATTTCAAAAGCAGTTTTTTCCGACGCATTATTTAAGATTGCAAAAAGCTCGCACTATTCGATTCCTTTTGATATTTTACGTAAAATGACGCGAGTTTTTTACAATCTAAAATAATGCGTCGAAAAAAACTGCTTTAGAATTTTTATCAATTCTTTCAAAGTAAATTGAACCTTAATCGATTTACTTGGGACCAATAGGCTAGTCAAGTAGTGAGCCAATTTAAAATCTTTAGTTTCCACCGGTTGGGCTGACTGGCATCCAGCGGCTGAATACGAAATGCTTCTCCCCGAAAGCTATACCGAAAAAGGCAGTCCCATCACGGTGGATAGGAGAGCTAAGGCCAACCACCTACTGTCTCCGAAACCTTCAAATTGTTACAGAAACCAATAGTGAAAGATTACGAACTGATTTTATGGCAACGACTTTTAGCGCTAAACAACGGACAAGAATTGGAACATGGAATGTACTGACGCTAGCCCAACAGGGTAAACTGGCACAACTCGCCAGTGAGGCCCGCCGTATGAAGCTAGAAATCCTGGGACTTAGTGAAGTCCGCTGGCCGACAGGTACTTTTATATTCTGGTATTCGACGTGAAAACGCTCCGCGACATCGCGGAGTTGGCTTTCTGCTTAGCGCCCAAGCACAGGCTGCGTTCATCAACTGGGAACATATCAATGAGAGAATAATCGTTGCCAGATTCAGAACACGGGTTCGAAACCTTACCATAATCCAATGTTATGCGCCAACCGATGATGCCGAATTGCAGGACAAAGAGAACTTTTACAGTTAACTGAATGCTGTCGTGGATAAGACTTCGAGAGGTGATATTAAGATCTACAAAGGCGACTTCAATGCGAAGATCCACTCCGACA